TGACTTCACTTTTTTTATTCATTTACTAATATATATATATATATATTTACGTTACTCATAGTTTTCTATTCATATATAATATGAGAAAATTATTAAAATTAACTTTAGGGAGTATAAGTCTAGATTTTTACGTTTTATTCTTAATTTATATTCTTTTGATTAATATTATTATTTGACTAAAAAATAAAAATAAAAACTAAAAATTTAGATTCATATATTTTTAGGAGTATTGGTCTCTTTTTTCATATATATATATATATATAATAAAAACAAAATTTGTTTAGCTTTTTTTTAAGCTTCATTTTTCTCTGGTTATGTTTTTAAAAAATCGTGTAAATGCTTTTTCTAAAATAGTATGGAGATTAGTTCCTTTTTTACAAGATTAGTCTATCTTTATGAGAATTTTGTAAGTCTCTTTTTAAGAGTTTTAAAAGATATTTGAAAATATTTCTAAAATTGTTGCAATTATCTTTTAACTAGATCGTGAGTGGGTCAGTTACATAATAAAATTTCGAAGCAAAGGAAAACCTTTTATTGGAGCAATTACAAGATTAGTTTTGAATTTTTTATTTTTCATAGTTCAATTTCGCTCAAGAATATCATTTTATTTTTACACTCATTCAAAATTATTTTTATCCTCAAGTTATGTGATCGCATCATCTTCAAGAATGTTTGGTCTACGTTGGTTTAAATCTCCATTTGTGGAGTCTAATGCGTTAGCAATCATCCAAGTTATGAAAAAATTTTCTTTTTTTATAATGAGTTGAGATTGTTATTGTAGAGGGTAAAATCTATAATTAGAGAAATCAATGGTCAATGACCGAGTTAGGAGTCATCGATTGGTGAAATTAATTCACTGTGAGAATGAAGACGTTAGTAAATGTGAAAGTAAATAAAAATAGTAAAAGACACAAGGAATTATAGTGGTTAGTGGTTTCACTATGATTGTTGGAAAGCGTTACAATGAATCGTTCTGAGGTGAATGGGATGAAAGAGAGGAATGCATGCTGAAAAATACAATAAATAATAGAGAAATATGTTGTAAGTGAGCGTGAGAGCTTTTGTGTGCTGTCGAAGCATGCCGAACTATGTCCAAATGCCTTGTATTAATAGTTGACGACACTCTACGAATTGTTTCCTGATTCTCTGCGTAATATGACCTTCAATTCGTGATATTCCTTTCCTTCTTAGACGCTGCATGACTTTGTTTAACTGGTTTCGTTCATAATCAACCGGTCAATCATAGTTTTTTGCCTATTTTGAGTTGATCCGGCCTTTTTGTTGCATGATTGCTGAAAAATATAGTTTTCTTATATGGAAGACAATCAATGTCGTCCAATGAGAGAGTATCTTATGGCCAAAATCGATTGTTGACCTTTTTCCTCATTAATTATTCTAGCTGGAGCAGTTGATTTCTTTTATTTTCTGGTTTATTATGTTGCCAAATCCCATATAAGAAATGTCTTGAGGATATTTTCTCGTGACTTGATACCTAAGGCTATTCGTCGACTCGTATGATCGACTAGTGGAGTTGATCAGTCGACCAATCGATTCTACCTGTTCGGGGAATTGCGGTATCTCGTTTAGTAACCTTTCACAGCTTGAATTGTCACGTGTACAGTGAGAGATAATGTACGAAATTTGACCTCAATAGTTATCGTAGATGTATCTAACTTATTATTATTATTTTTTTCTAGGAGATAAGATATGCCATGTTTATAACGTAGGCGCATATTCATTGAGAAAGCAGCAGAAGTGGAGGAAGTGGGAACCGGGAAGGATTTATTTGATAATCTTTCTCAGCATCGTTGACCCCAATAAACTTTGACCACAGATGGTTCTTGACCGAGCGTGCAAGCACGCGCTCCGACTCGCGTGGACAAAGTCTGGTTGGAGAATATTGAAAAAAAAAAAAAACTCAAACTAATAGGAGAGAGAGAGAGGGGTCTTCAGGAGCCCTCTTCTTCAGTCACTGAGAGGCTGCAGTTTCTCCTTGTTTGTACGCTAAAATTTACACTTCCCAAGAGACAATCTCTGATCATTTCTCATTTCTTAACTACAGATTTTGCTCCTAATCTCATTCCCAAATCTTCTGCTCAAAAACCACAATTAAACACACACACACACTCTCTCTCTCTCTCTCTCTCTCTCTCTCTCTAAACACACTCATCTCATTCTCCATTCTTCTCTGAAACAAAAGCGATGGAAAACGACCTGTACGGCCTCGGCTCAGCTCCGGCGACTGTTTCGGCCGAGTACATGGGCTTCGAGGTGTTCGACGACGATCGGGTGCAAATGGCGTTCGGATCCGACCCGATTTTCCCGGCCTCCTCTTCTGCGGTGTCGGACGCCGCTTCCATGGCGGCGGCTGAAGCTCAGAGAGGCAGCGGAGGAGGAGGATTCGCCGACGAATTCTCCGGTGGAGTGAGAGAGAAGATCGCCTCTCATCCTCTCTACCCCAAGCTTTTAGAAGCTTACATCGAGTGCCGAAAGGTCGAATTCTGCTTTTTTTTTTCTCCCGTAAAATACGCCGATCTTTGATCCGCGTTTGTTGTCCGAGAAAAAACTTGATAGATTTACGCGACAAAAAGAATAGGAAAATGGTATTTTGTTTTCTCCTTCTTGTGATTGTAAAATATGAAAGCGTACGAAGCAGGAGTAATCAAGGCTATATATACATATGTATATATATGCTATACAAAAGGCCGACTTCGGATAATGCTAAAAAGAAACAGTACTACTCGTGAACTTTCCTTTTCCTTCAGATTTTCTCAGCAGCCAAACACACTCTTGTAGCAGTGCAGTTACAGTAGTTTCCATATGTTCTTTTTTTTTTTTTTTTTTTTTTTCTAAAAAAAGGAAAAAAAAATAGAAAATAAATGACTTCCCCGTTTTCTGCGAGCAAGAACTTATTTCGTGACTTGTAACGGTTTTCAGTTATTTGCGTAACGTCAATCTGTTAATGAAGTTTTTACTTTTTTATTTTGTTTTTTTTTTTTGAAAGTGTTTGTGTTTGGTTGATCAGGTCGGAGCGCCACCGGAGATAGCAAGCGAGTTGGAAGAAATCCGGCAAGAAAGCGATCAGCTGATCAGCAGAAGAACCGCCGTTTCAACTCGCGATTTTGGTTCCGATCCCGAGCTCGACGACTTCATGGTCTTCTCTCAAACCCGAAACCCTAGCTGATTAGCTCTTGTTGATTATATATATATATATGTATATATATATATACACACACACAGACACATAAACATATATGTATATATATAATTTCCTTTTTAAGTACTTAATTAAGGTTTTGGTTGTTTTCTAATAATATAAATTAGGAAACTTACTGCGGTATATTGGTGAAGTACAAATCGGATCTCTCAAGGCCGTTCGATGAGGCAACGACATTCTTGAACGAGATGCAATCACAGCTCAACTCTCTCTGCAATAATCCCACTACCACTGCGTCAACAAGCTACGTTTCTGGTCTCTGATCTCTCTCTCTCTCTCTTTCTCTCTCTCTCTCTCTCTCACTAAATCTTCAAGCTGTTAATGTTCTTGTTTAGTTGCTTTTTATGATTATTAATCTTTTTTGCTTTCCCAGTTTGGCTGTTCTTGTGTTAGTACATAATATAATAATAAATAAATAAAAGCCCAAATGAGATATAGCGAGCGCGAAACCCATCAAATCGATCAGATCACATGAAGCACAGTGGCTGTTCTAGTTCCTAGACTAATTACTTATTCTTACCTTTTTTTTTTAATTAAAAAAAATAGGTTTCTGATGGGCATCAAAGAATAATTAACAAATGTATATTACTTGTTCTTGATTAGAAACAAAAGGCCTGTTTCAGTGAGTAAGGGCAATACAAACAATCATTTATAAAACCTAACGACAAAACCCTAGGTAAATGAAAAGACCCTCTTAGCACGTTTGGTTCACGCGTTTAAGTCAGTAATTTTAATTTTATACTCAAATTTTGTGAGAGAACAATTAGCGATAACTTTTTTTATTTAAATTTTTTGTGAAAGAAAAATACTGTAGCAGAATTAGAATTATGATTTCAAACGCATGAAACAAACGAGCCATTTTTCTTGGACATTTGGATTGACTCACCCAATTTATTTTGAGGATAATTTTTTTAGTTTTTTTAGTTTTTTTTTTTTTTTTTTTTTTTAATGTGGATTTCAACCTATGATAACCAAATAGGGAAGTGTATAGTTGATAACAATGTATATTTTTTTGGAGAGAATATACGTGTGTGCGCGCGCACATGTATTTCTATGTCGTATTAGTATTAATAATCAAGTAAATTTGTTCGTGACCGAAAAACTAACTAAATTTGTTCTCCAATAGCTGCGAGTTCCAAAATTGATGGCTGCAAAGCTATGAATGTTAAAGTTATCAAAATCTAAAGTATGATTTTGTATTCATGCATCCTAAGTTTTAACAATTTTAGGATTGGTTAGTTTTAAATATTTTTGGATGACCTTGTATGAGGCCATTGCTCGAACATTATCATGTTTTTGCCGTCAAATATCATTCAACTGATTACACTTTTTGCTATAATTTCTTCGTTAGGCTTTTTATCACTTTACAGTTCTTTTTACGGGTGTTGTAAAACATAAATGTTTCATCCACAGATTGGCGTGTACAACTATTATCTACATCGTTTTGTTTGTTCGCAATTAGAAACATGAGACCTTATCCGGTACGCCAACATACCGGTATGTCAGATTTTTTGTCCGTCAGATTTGTATAAAAGTACGTAAAAGTCAATCCAGTAATTAGGACAACTTAACCTACCGATACGTCAGACATACTAGAAAATTTTCCTTAGAAACATACTTCCTTGCTACTAATAAACGTATATCTCATCATAACGGCCTTTGATAATGCCTTTTTTTTTTTAAAGTCTAAAACAGAACATGATTTTTTACTGCATGCAACCGTAGAAATTAGAAAAATATGCTAATTTGGCGCAAGGTACTAAAAGTTGATTGATTAGTCTGCATCCATCAATGAACCTTTAAGTTCTTTTTTTTTAAAAATAAACTGTGAGATCTCATATTAGAGATTATTTACACATTCCAACTAGATTGGCACCTCCTAACAAATCTCGTCTTATACGTACCAGAATCCTCACTCAATGTCATTAAATAAAAAGGAAAGTACAAGAATGTTGAAGTTAGGAGGCCAAATAAGTAGACAATCCAAAAGGCAATAACAAAGCAAAAAATAACTTAGAAGTAAATGCTGAATATTTAGAGTACAAAGTCTTATAACTAGGCGTGGTTTCTTTTTTTATAAAAATAACTTGTTGGGACTAGTTACCATTTCAAATGTATCTATGTAACCCCCTAGATGATAAGGTTAAATCACTTGATCATCCTTATCATCAACACAAAACAGATTTTCACTAGAATCTCCAAAAGAACACAAGATATCATGGCAGAGAGAAGTACAGTACTTAAGTTAGATTTTCAGAATATTATATTTACTCGTGCTGTACGATGATCCTTTGTTCACTGTTGATCTCCTACTTTTGATGTTGTGCTTATACTCTTATAATAGCTAACTTTATAGTCTTTTTTACTTCGTACAGATGGAATTTGTAGCGGAAATTATTATTTTTGTATTACCCTTTTGTGTTCAGGTTACCAAGATTACGCATATAATATGGTATAATACGCTATTTTTAGCATCATTTTGAAAGAAAGCTGTTTTTCCGTCATGCGGTATGTGTCTAGTTGTGCGGCTTGGAGATTATGGATTTGGTTTTGAAATTCGTGCCTAAATTACTTAGATTAAATTAATGGTATTCACAATTGAGGCAATTGAGCTAATTAATTGGTTTGAGAGCTCAACTTGGTTCAAGTGCTTTTCCTGTCAAATATTTTATAATATGCTTGAGCAGGTTCGTTAACTTATGCACGTGGGCTCTTTTAATTGGGATAATAAACAGAATCATGAAGTGGTTTTGTGTTAAGCTTTGAAGCTTTATGAAGTGGATTGTTCTGGTGCAGGGTGTATCTGCCAATTTTTTTATATGGTGTGGGCAGTCGGTAGTTCCCACTCTTTTTTTTTCTTTTTGATACAATTCCCCTAACTCATTTTGTGAGCCTGAGTTGGAAAAGGGAGCATTCCGCCAAGCCTTACGATCTTTAAAAGACAGAAAACCATAGGTATGTTTGTTTCACAACTCAAGTTCTTAACTTGAGTTGTGCATGTGAGAGAAAAACACTGTAGCAAAAAAAAAATTAGAGTTGAATTTTTTTGAGAGAAAACGCTATAGCAATAGAACTTGAATTGTGAAAAGAACGAGGCCTATGACTTTTTTCATGTAGGTGCCCATGAGGTGATTCGATCCCGAGACCTTGTGGGAGCAAACCAAAGGCCTGAGCATTCCAACCAACATCCCATAAGTAGTCTATAGTTCTCACTTCACTAACAAAAAATGAAACCATTAGAATTCAAACCTCGGTAAATACACGCATACATTCACGCATCCAACCACTTTAGCTAGCCTTGACTGGCTAGGGTGAAACTGACAAATTGAAAAGTTTGCTCCCATTTTATGTGTGCTATATTGTATGAGGTTTTCTTCTCGCCTTTTACTGGACTCTTAAGAACAAACTAATAAGTGACATATAGAGTAAAATGGTGCAATGAATTCTCTTTTTCCCTTTTCTGAAAACGAAGTGAACTTGACAAATTGATTTAATGCTTGCAGCATTGTTCCCCACCAGGGGTATTTGTTGGACTTAATTATGCGTTGCTGATAAGAAAGATGATCTTATTCCTCTACGTAGGCATATGTATACCTGCAATTGCATGCAAATGTTTTGAATTAAAATGTATTTTGTGATGTTACGGCCATGTTGCATTGTTGTCGCTGAATGCATCATACATTCTTGTGATCTATTTATGCACATGTTGCAAGAGAATCATGCACTAACTCATGTCATCTATTGATCTTTGTTCTCTTTCTTTTTATAGGTTCTTGTTTTCTTCTTAGTGTTCCTTTTTTTTTTTTTTTAATTATGAATTCTATTTGTTGTCTACCAAATAGATCAATGGTGCAGTTAACTAGGCATAATTTGGAGTTTGGATGGTTTTACCTTGTATTGAAGTTGTTATCTATTGAGTGGTACTTGTTGAATGTGTTATTTTTCATGAGCTAAAGAAGGTTATATTTTGTTTTGCTCTTTCTAAGAATTAGTGTGAATCCGTACATGCTGTCCACTCTAGGGATTAGGGATACAACACAAAGATATGAATTAGGATACAATAAAGTTTAAATATCACAACGCCCTAATTGTAATATTAATTGTTTTGGCATATTACTGAACTAAAAGTAGGATTGCATGTATATATATGCTAGGCTGTACACTTCCGAATTAAGGTTTCCTCGATGGATAATGTGAGAATGTCACACTAGTGAATGTGTTTTATATGCCACGCTAGTGAATGTGAAGGGTGAAAGTGTTATTATCTTTTTTATTTTTTATTTTTTATTTTTAGGAATTTTGTTTTCGTTTCTTATGTTCTTGGTAAATATTTTATTGCTTCTCATGGTTTGTATGATATTGAAAATGTTAAACATCATGACTCAGGATGTTAGATAATTTCTTTATCGGATGCTGTTTCAGTAAGTTGTGTGATTCATGTCTTGAAAAAATGAGTATTGCGTGATAAAGATAACAGAAATGTTGTCTAAAATGCAAGGGGAAGCGGGTTTTCGGCTTCCTCCTAGTCCCACCATTTTCTCTCCCAAAAGGGCTTTTCAGCTTCCTCCTATTTCCCTTCTCTCGTGAAATCATACCTGACCCGGAAACTAATTTATGGTTCCAGATTTTCATATTTTTCCTCTTTCGTGCTTAGGGTTTTGACGTTTGTGCACAGTGAGTATTTACACCACCATGCACTTCTGACTACATTCAGGATTCCATCAATTTCTTATTTCTCCGTCAGTTTTCGGCGTGTGTATATACAGGGGTTTTTTTTTGGGTCGGTTTCTCCTGTGAAGGTTCCCTCCAGGTAACTTATAGTTATAAAAATGTAACATAATAATTATTAAATCGATGTTGCAGAGAAATAATATAATTTTTAGATGATTAAATTTTTTAGTGTTACTTTCTCCAACATCAATATTACATGCAATAACATGGTACTTAGAGAGACCTTCTACCTGGGAGAAACAAAAGCCCTATATATATTTATATATTTCATCTTCTAATATCCAATGAGAGTAGTCTATAAAATCACTTAGGAGATGTTTGTTTCATGTATTGTCTTTGATTTTGAATCATAATTTATGATTTTTTATAGTATTTTTCTTTTATAAAAAATTTAAATTTTAAAAATTAAAATTATAAATCATGATTTTAAATCTATAAATTAAATTAAATGTTAACTTATTTGGATTATCCAGCAGTATCAAGTCATAATCATAATTATTTCTCTCGGTTTCTGTTAACCACATGAAATACTTCGGGCTACAGTCTGCAATATACCATTAGATAGCAATTATTCTCAC